CACACACACACACCTACCCACCTACCTACCTGGGGCTAGGGTTTCCCAGAAGGCCAAGGTCTGGTCCCTTTCCTGCCCTCTGCAGATGTGGACAGCTGTGAGAAGTGGCTGAACTGCAAGAGCGACTTCCTGGCCCAGTACCTAAGCCAGGTGCTGCGGGACCTGCCCAGCTGCCCATGCGCCTACCCGCTGGAGGCCGAGTCCCGCTCCGTGAGCCTGCAGGACGAGCACCAGGGCCGCAGCTTCCAGTGGCGCGACGCCAGTGGGCCCCGTGAGCGCCTGGACGTGTACCGGCCCATGGCCCGCTTCTGCCTGCGCTCCCTGCTCTCTGGGGAGAGCAGCACGCTGGCCGCCCAGCACTGCTGCTACGACCAGGGCAGCCGGCTGCTGACCCGCGGCAAGGGCGCCGGCACGCCCGCCCTGGTCAGCACCGACTTCTCCCCCGAGCTGCACTTCAAGGTGGACACGTTGCCCTGGGTCCTGTGCAAGGGCGACTGGAGCCGCTACCACGCCGTGCGGCCCCCCAACAACGGCCTGGCCTGCGCCGACAACCCGCCCGAGGAGGAGTACCTGGCGCAGCTGCAGGAGGTCAAGGAGTACTGAGGGATGGGCTGCGGACCCACTCAAGACCTTTCCCTGCAGGCCCCCTGGGGGTCCAGCCCAGATAGCCATGGAAGACCTGGCAATGCCCGGGGGCTGTCTGCCTGCTCGCTCCAGATGGTCTCCTGTTAGAACTAGAATGGGCATCCTACCCCCAGATACACTGCATCAGAACCTACCGCCCAACAAGACCCCCAGCAGCCCTAAGAAATGGCCTGGGCTGGGGAGAAGGAACTTGTTTCGGCCGGTGGTTCCCAGAGGTGCCCCGACAGGTGGGCGGGGCCTCCCTGACCCTGTGAACCCCTTAGCCTGACTCCGCTCAGCTGGGTTCAGGCATGTCCGCCACCGCAGGACCTCACTCAGATCTCAGCCCTGACAGCCAGCTGAGGGAGGGCCCTAGGGGAACAAAGGGCCAGTCTCACCCCATCACAGCTGCCCTTTGCCAGGCCGACGCCAGCCCCGGTGACAACGTCCCTTCCTGAGGGGCTGTGGGTGTGCACAGCGGGAACCCCTAGCCCCTGCACCTTTCCGGTGGGGGGCAGCCGTCAGTGGGGCCTAAGGGTTAGATGGGCCGATTTGTTGGGGTGAGGCAGGCTCTCCCTGTGCAGCCAGCCTCTGCCCTGTCCATTGCAATGGGGTGGGCAGTGGGGATTGGAACTGGAGACTAGCAGCCAGTCCCAGCAGCCAGGCTTGGGGTGGGCTCAGAACGCTGCCTTGCGTGCCTGTGTGGTACTGGTCAGCTGGCTCTCGGGAGGTGAAGAGGAGCCGTGATCTTTAGCATTGGATGCTTCCCTTGATGTAAATGCTCCTGGCTTGGCCGTCACGCTGGCCAGATGGGCCCCACGGCTCTCCCAACCCACTGTCTCCTGCCTTCCCTTCTGTGATCTCGCCCCGAGACCGTAGCCCCCAATGCCTCTGGGGTCCTCACAAGAAAGCACTTTGAGAAGTCTGTCTGATGAAGCGGGACCATGTGCGAGCCCTGGGGGGTCGGCAAGCCACGCTCCCGTGGGCAGTGTTGGTAACCACCAAAGTCAAGCTGCAGTTAGTTGCCAGTGAGTCTGGGCAGACGACAGCCATCTCGGCCACAGCCTGGAAGACCTCACCCGGAGCCGGCTGTGCAGGCAGAGACCCCGAGAACTGGGGCTGGGATGTCTGTCACCCGCAGCCAGCCCCAGGCATACTGGTGAGGGGCAGGCGGGGCTGCCCTCTGAAGCACATCTGCTTACAAGCTTTGGTCCCTGGTGCACTGCCTGGCCCCACGTCATGTCCCTCAAGAGACCCGCTGCAGGGATGGCACATGGGACAGGAGAAAGGACGCCACCTGTCCAGTGACAGCCGTACCCTTCCTTGGTCACTCTCCTTGTTGGACATTCCATGTCCCTCTGGCCTTGGGGGATGGGCAGACAGACAGACCCAGGTCAGGCCGCAGAGTGAGTCCAGGGGTGCACTTCAGGACTGCCCAGCACTTTAGTTATGGATATGCCCTCCTCTGATCACTGTCACACCCGGAGGGAGACATTCCTTGCACTCCGGTCTAAAATGACCCTGGTGCCTCTGGAATGGATATTCCGGGGTCAGGAGGCCCGGATCTGCGGTCTCCGCTGGGAGCCCGTTCACAGGCTCTCTCGTCTGGGGGTCCGGCAGGGGCACAGGTACATTGAATTGTCAGGCAGAAGCTTTTTCTTTGATGTCAAGCGCACGCCATCCCAGGGCCTCCTTCACAAAGACGGCCCCTCCTCTGACTTTGCTCGGCATGGCAGCAGGGTCTACATGGAACCCACACCCAACGGCGTCTCTCACGAAGCCCCCCTTCAACCCGCAGCTAAGTGACACCCCACAATGCTATCACATTTAGCCACAGAAAGGCCAGATGGTGGGAGCCTCAAGGGACCGGCCCGGAGGTGGGGAGAGGTCAGCTCTACACTG